ACATAAAAACACAGTATATACTGGCTTCCATACTATCAGTGCTAATTACTGTAAAGTGTTGGCTTCCATTGTCTATTGCTAATCACCTATCAGCGACAGTCATCTGTTGGCTTCCCTTGTTAGTTTCTACCTTTTGTTATTTTCCACCTTTTGTTATCTTATTAATTTTGTTGTCCTTACATGTACATATATATGCTCTCTGCCTCATGGCTTTCATTCACCTGATGGAGTAAGCATATACTCAGAAATGTTGCGTTCCTCATAATAAAGAAGTTGACATCTATAAATTCTCTTCCTTCCATTATATACTCATAATTCTGCATATCAAATTCTTAATGCTACTTGCAAATATGGCTGAGCAATAAGAAGAAATGGCATTTACAATATGGTTGCAGTAGTGGCCATGTTGAATATCAAGCTCTACCTTCTCATGGGGTGGAATAGGAACAGTCATGGCTGATCAAGAATTATTATTTTGTATTTTTGTAGAATGTACATGATCTAGGAGTATGTATGGATTTACGGTACCTGAATCTAATGAGAAATGGAGCATGTACGGATTTACGGTATCTGAATCTAATGGAGCATGTACGGATTTACGGTATCTGAATCTAATGACAAATGGAGCATGTACAGATTTACGGTATCTGAATCTAATGGAGCATGTATGGATTTACGGTATCTGAATCTAATGACAAATGGAGCATGTATGGATTTACGGTATCTGAATCTAATGGAGCATGTATGGATTTACGGTATCTGAATCTAATGACAAATGGAGCATGTACGGATTTACAGTCTCTGAATCTAATGAGAATTGGAGCTTGATGGATTTACGGTATCTTAATCTAATGACAAATGGAGCATGTACAGATTTACGGTATCTGAATCTAATGAGAAATGGAGCATGTACAGATTCACGGTATCTGAATCTAATGAGAAATGGAGCATGTACGGATTTACGGTATCTGAATCTAATGACAAATGGAGCATGTACAGATTTACGGTATCTGAATCTAATGAGAAATGGAGCATGTACGGATTTACGGTATCTGAATCTAATGAGAAATGGAGCATGTACAGATTTACGGTATCTGAATCTAATGAGAAATGGAGCATGTACGGATTTACGGTATCTGAATCTAATGACAAATGGAGCATGTACAGATTTACGGTATCTTAATCTTATGACAAATGGAGCATGATGGATTTACGGTATCTGTATCTAATGAGAAATTGAGGATGATAGATTTACGGTATCTGAATCGAATGAGAAATGGAGCATGTACAGATTTACGATATCTGAATCTCATAAATGAGAAACATCCTAGATACATGCAAACAAATCTATTGATATGTACAATAAATGAATGATAAATACCAGATAAAAACGCTGTATCCCTAAGAAAAAAGATTTATTTTCTTGCGCAAGATATTGATTTTGACATGGTTGTGCCTAATCGTAAAAACCTGACATTGATAATCAAATAATTATTATTAGTCATATTATCTGTCAATTTGTGGCCAAAATAGTCTCTTGAAATATTTCAAGGCTATAAATTGAACTAATAAAAATAAGATTGGCACCATCTGCTTTATAATTACATTATAGGGGTCATGTGTACAGGGTTGTAAGAGCTGAGGCACACTCAGAGTGAATCGGGTTTTACAAGATTTTAGCAATATTTCAGCAATATAGTGTGAAGAATGAACACTACAACCACTAAGCTATCCCACAGACCCCTTATGCAATGTAGACTGAGATCGAGGCCTTAAAAATTGAACATTTTGAGAAAAACTAAATCTGTATTGCAAGGTTGTTTTATTCAGTAACAATGGTTTTCATAATAGAAATGATCTCAAATTATGTTTGGCAGAGACTGAAATGCTGAAATGAAACACCGTCTTTGAGTGCATATTTTAAAACTTGATAACAGAAACATCCCAGTAAAATAAATTCAAGTTCTATTTATAGGAGACCAGACATTCTTCTTTTTATTTTCACTTACAAAACCAAAGAACAAAAATCTCAAAGAACAAAAAAAAAAAAATCTTGAAAGCATTTTATATATTTTATGACATCTGCTTCCTACCCATATTGTTTATCCATACCCAACCAACCAACAACAGCCCCTCCCCAAAACACCCCCACCCCACCCCGCACCTATGATCATTGTATTCTGGCACACATAATGGATGAAAATGCCCACCTATCCGACCCAAAAATCATAATTTCCAAACTGGAAACACTTTCCATCTTTTCCTATTAACATTTATCAAATTAGCGCCATCAAATTAAGGTAGCCTGGAAGTCTGGAACATGAAAGGGGGGCATGATCCTAATGTTCACCAGACACAAAGGGGTTTCACCCGTGAAGATCCGTGTTAAAATTGGTCTTCAGCAACCCATGCTTCCCATAAAAGGCAACTATGCTTGTCGTAAGAAGAAACTAACGGGATCGGGTGGTCAGGGTCTCTGACTTGGTAGATGCATGGCAACCCATCCCAAATACCGTATTCGATGTAATAAGCGCCCCGCTCTAATAAGCGCCCACCGCAATATTTGCTAATATATTGGCAAGTGAACAATCCCAATTAGCACTCCTTCCGATTGATCAATGTACATACGACTTATTTCATACGCACTCGTGTGTTATATGCACCCTTAATTATGGGCAATTAAATTCTGGAAAAATATATCTGTCGTATATAAACAGTTCAGGCCGTCAGCATAAACCATGAAATGTATCTTTCAACTCTGTTTTTTTTCACCAAAATAATATTCCAATAAGTGCCGACCCCATTTCTAATTTTGAGAGCGCCCTGGGCGCTTATTATGTCGAATATGGTATATCAAAGCTCATGTCATTCACTGAATTGTCTGTTCCAAACTTATTTAAATTATTAACAGACAGCCCTGAGATAGCAAGAATATTGCTGAGTGCGGCATTAATTTACAACAAACAAACAAAGGAATTTCCAAATTTTACATGTTAGTTTTTACAAATTTCACACTGACAGAAACGATTTTAATGACTGTAATAATTTTATTTCAATTACAAAGGACAAATTATAGTGTTTTTTTATTTAAGAACTGTGTGTGACGTCTATTCTCATATAACACTTCATTATCATTTCAGTGTAATTTCATGTTGTCAATTTCATGATGTTAATATCTGCCACTCAATCACAGGCCTGCAGCTGACGGGTGTCTTGACAAGATGCTATCACTCTAAACTGACATATCGGAAAGATAATAAAAATGACCTTCACATTTATGACAATATATTTTTTTAAATTTCAGGAGAAAAAACAATTTCAATAAAGTTCAAAGAAACGCAAACTTTTTACAAGAAATATTGCAGTGATAATGTTTGAAAGTAAATGTCATCGCGGGGCCAGATCATGTAATGGCTTGTTTTATGATCTAATTTACCCAAGATCCAGTGAAAGTAGAATAATAAAACTGGTGTGTTTGACAGGAAATGTGACAATTTTTGCATCTTTGCTTGTATTATGGTTCAACTGATATTTTCAACTGAGTTCAAATTCATTTCATTTTGTATCTAGATAAATATATCATTTTGTTTTCAACCTCTTCATACCATAGCCCAAAAGTCTAAATCATATGGTGGGGCAATGTAAAAAGTAATTTGTAAGGCAATAGTGTTGATAACAAACACATTGCAACAGCACAAAGTGACATCGATAGTCATCCCAATTTTGTGGATTTGATACATTTTGTCCGTTATACTACAATTATCATCTTTATGGTAAGTGAAATTCATGGTATTATAAGGCAGATAAAAAAATATGATGAATTCCAGGAGATTCAAAGATTATATTATGGAGCTGATGACTGCAAGATTTCATGACATTTATTTGAACATCTTAATTACATGTTCCAGGCCAGGTGTAGCAAATCAATATGATGGCTGAGGCGAAATCTTGTGAATTTACTCATGATGGTTTTAGGTTAGGAACATTGCCATTTTTCATGAATACATCAGATAACCTGTAAAATGAACTTATAAGAGTGAGTGAGTGAGTGAGTATGGTTTTACGCCGCTTTTAGCAATATTCCAGCAATATCACGGCAGGGGACACCAGAAATGGGCTTCACACATTGTACCCATGTCGGGAATCGAACCCGGGTCTTCGGCGTGACAAGCGAACGCTTTAACCACTAGGCTACCCGACCGCCCCTGAACTTATAAGAGCATTCTTGGGAGAGTTATATATATTAAACACAACATTGATAACATAACATTGATAGCATTGACACCACCAAGATATCACATCAGAGTTCTTCATGTAATGTTTCATTTGTTTGTTGTTTACTGTACACTCAGCAATATTCCAGATGGTGGTTTGTAAATGATCAAGTCTGGACCAGACAATCCAGTGATTGACATCATGAGCATTGATCTACAGTATCAACCAAGACCCCTCGATCCCGTTAGTCGCCTCTTACGACAAGCATAGTTGCCTGTTACGGCAAGCAGGGGTTCCTGAAGACCTATTCTAACACAGTTCTTCCAAGGGTTTCACTTAGTACCGGTAAATCATGTATGCTTAACTCACTTGCTGTCAGGGTACAATAAGTGAGTGAGTGAGTATGGTTTTACGGTGCTTTTAGCAATATTCCAGCAATATCAAGGCGGGGGACACCAGAAATAGGCTTCACACATTGTACCCATGTCGGGAATCAAACCCGGGTCTTCGGCGTGACGAGCCAAGGCTTTAACCATTAGGCTACCCCACCGCCCAGGTTACAATGACACGTAATGAACCAAGAAACAGCCTGATCCAATTCGGTCCCATCTTACAATAAGAGAGTGTGTTTTTTTCACCGTTTTTAGCAGTATTCCAGCAATAAGTTGCGGAACACCCGAAATGGATTGACACATTGTACCCATGTGGGGATTAAAAGTGTGTCTTTGGCATGATGAGCAAACACTCTAGCCATATGGCTACCTCCATGGCCTCACGGAACTTACCTAGAGTTATCTTCCCTTCCTCTGAGTGCCGGAGATTCCTGGCTTTGGTTACAACAATGGTAAGTCTTTCAGCACTGGGCAAATAACACAGCGAGAACATCAGATCCCCTATAGCATGTTGCTGTGGAAACAAGTATATCATTATACAGATATATCTGTAAATATATCCAGTAAATATAAGCAAGGCCATCAGATCCCCTATAGCATGTTCCTGTGGAAACAAGTTTATCATTATACAGATATATCTGTAAATATATCCAGTAAATATAAGCAAGACCATCATATCATATGTTACTGTGGAAACAAGTACCATATTTTCTTGAGTATAGTGTGCACCCAAGCATAATGCTCATCCCTCTCTAGGGTATTCAGCATTTTGGAGAAAAATATTTTTTCAAGTATTATACGCAGAAAAAAATTACACCGTATCACTTCAGCGAATTCAGGTCAACGAAAGGGTGATAAGAAACTTGGTCAGTACAAATTTGAAATTAGAGATAAAAATCACGAGACATGTTGATTTATCATTTATATTGTATTTTCTGTTCTGCTAGCGTTGTTTTACATGCAGAGATTAAGATTACCGTGTGTAATTTCTCATTAACTAAGCTGGAAACAGCAATCAGCTGTACACAGGTTTTCTTGGAATCTACTGGTGATGCGGTTTAAACTTACCCAATGATTTTACTTTTAAGAATTTTTATGCAATGATCAGAAAAAAATGTATCTGTAACAATTTTTTATCAGGAATAATGTATTCCAATATCGTGTAAGTTTAGTTGCAGCTTTTAATATATATATTTAAAATAATAATAACCATAAGCGTAGCACTTCGGTGCAGCTGATCGCTATTGCTGGATATTTTTTTTCGCATGGAACAATTTGACCAGTCACGGTTGAGGCTCCCGCACACATGATCGCAAGAACTATATGTTGACATAGAATCGTCAAACTACAACAAATTTGACTTTTAACAAGTCAAAGTATGGCATATATGATATATGTATCCATTCTCTGTCAACTAAAGTTAGTTTCAAGGCGTCAATAGTGGTAATCTGACCGTGGTTGCTATAAATAATGGTGAGTTGTGCGATCTACCGATTACTTCACACACGATTTCGGCAAAATTTAATTTAAACAATATTGAAAGAAATTTTGAATAAAATTAATGAAATAGGTTACAAATATAAGTCCAGATATACAATGAACACCTTTTATAACCAGACAGTGTAATAACAAGATTACATTGCATACTCCAGGACAGATTTGTTGACATGGCAGTTCTGGTCTTCGAAAGGCATTTAGAAGTGATACACATAAGGAAGAGAATATATGGATGTCAACTTGAAGTAAGCATATACTCCGAAAAGTTGTGTTCCTCATAATAAAGAAGTTGACATCCATATATTCTCTTCCTTATGGTATTTCTGGTGTTAGGGGCTTGCGGTAATGTCTTTGCATTTGGGAAAAAAACATCAAAACTCATTTGGCGTGTGTAATATGCACCCCCGTGTTTTTTGGAGAAAGAGTGTGCACTATACTCAAGTAAATATGGTATATCATTATGCAGATATATATTTCTACATTTCTAGTGAAGGGCAAACGTCACATTGGCCAGTCACTGTCTTGTAAAATACAGAAAGTCAGCTGGCCATGGATATTATGATGTCACAGTGTTTAATCACGGACCATTGAATGTTCAGAAGGTGGGGAGCCGAGAATTCTTTTAGGGACCAAATATGTTGATCCCACTGCTATAATACATGGACCTACTATTTGCCTCTCAGGTTTTATAACATTTTAATGAGGTTGCTTTTTTCAACAAACAATTTTCTTTTAAACCCAAGTAAAACTGATTTTTTTCAGTATTTTCCAGAACAATTTTTTTTATCCCAAAGACAAAATAACACCCCAACATTAACCTCTTGAGGCTGGTGATTCTTTTAAATGTTTATGATGGCTGGTGATTTATCGTCCATGAGTGTGCGAAAACTTTCCAAATGTCTGTGCATTTTTCATGACCTTAAACAAGTGATAAAGTCAGGGCAGAATGCCCCTTGGATTAGTTGGATGTCGGACAGAGGGTAAAGTGGCTTAATCTCTGTCTGACAATACTCTCATACATATTACAAAAATTAGCATTAAGACATATATATGGACGTCATCATATTGTTAACCGCCTCCATGGTCTTGTGGTAGAGCGTTCGCCCGGAGAGCGGAAGGTCCAGGGTTTGATCCCCTACCGCGTCAGATCAAAAGACGTTAAAAGATGGTACTTGTTGTTACCCTGTCTGGCGCTTGGCATTAAGGGGCTAAAACAAGGACTGTCCGGCTCGGAGTCAGTATACTGTGTCTGAGTGGGGTATTCATGTTAAACTGCGGCATGGTATCTCAGTGGGCTAGCACTATAAATCGGCATCAGTCCGGACTAGTACAAGCAGCCACACAAACACATACACGTGCAGGCACGTCGCTATATAAGTGCAATAATCTTGGATGCGACGTTAAACCCAATTTCACCTCACCTCATCGTATTGTTTGAGTGCTCCATTATTTTGTAGGAATGGACAGTTGGTTGTGTTCTCTAATGCAGTTGCACATGTGCTACACTCTGTCGCAAGCTGATCTTTACAAAGATGCATGTGGACACTCTTTAGAGTGTTTTGTCAAATTGTAAGAGTTGGGATGTGTTTTAAGTTTGGGAATATCCTCGTAACTCTCCATTCCTTTAAAATAATCAGCCTCGGATATTCCCCTCTTCATGACACTCAACTCTGCTGGTGTACTATTCCACACACTCTTAATTGTTGGGGCTAAACAATTGATCGTTTTCAGCCCAAACACATCTGTTTAAAGATTCATGTGTATTCTTCAGAATGTGTTATAAATATCAAGACCAGAAATAAAGAGACTTTGTCTACCTCCCTTAGCAACTGCTGTTGCACCTGAGAGGTTTGGTGAGGTGAAATTGAGTTTAACATCAGGTTCAAGATAATTGCACTTATATAGCGACGTGCATGCACATGATTGACACTGCCTCCATGTACTAGTCCAGACCAGTAAAAGCTTGTTATTATAGTGCTAGCCCACTGAGATATCATGCCACAGTTTGAACATGGATACCCACACAGACACATATACCCACTCCCACCAGTCCTTGTTTTAGCCCCTTAATTCTGAGCACCAGGCAGGGTAACAACATATACCATCTTTTAACGTCTTTTCGTATGATGCAGCCGGGGATCGAACCACGATCATTGATGATAAATAATATTCAAAATAAACATGCACTGTTGTTGTTTGTTGTTTAAAGCCGCACTCAACAATATTCCAGCTATACGACGGCAGTCAGTAAATAATCAAGTCAAGACAATCCAGTGATTTACATCATGAGCATCGATCCATGCAATTGGGATACGATGGCCATCATCAACCAAGCCTGACCACCCGATCCCGTTAGTCGCCTCTTACGACAAGCATAGTTGCCTCTTACAGCAAGCAGGGTTGCTGAAGACCTATTCTACCCCGGATCGTCACGGATCTACATGCAATGTAGGGTACATGTATCAACAAGCACACAAAATTATACGAAATAGTCATCACTACTCACATCCTTTTTCTCGCAAGGTACGATCCCCTTCCACAATATAACCTTTTCACTGAGATCTACCAACTCCAGGGGCACATGCACTTGTCCGATACACTCATCCCGGGAGAACTGGTCATAATCATACAATAGCACCTCCAGGGTTGTCATGGCTAACTTATGTGATGACACCTCAAAAACAAACTCCTCCTCAAATTCGGGGTTCACTGTCTTCCTGTGAATCTTGCTCTGTAATATACTCCTTTGTTCGGGAAGTAAGGAAACTTTGCAATATGGGTCCGCCGTACCGCTGAAATCCCGCGGTACAAGATCCCTGGCTTGTATCATGTGTACCGTGAGTATTGACGTCTCCTTGTTGTATTCCATACTAAGGTTGATGGAGCCTTGCTGCTCCTCTTGGAGTGATGACACCGAACTCTGACGTACCAGTTGCTGTAACAGAGAAGAATGAGTGAGTGAGTGAGTGTGGTTGATTTTACATTTTACAATATTCCCCTAATATCATATGTTATTCCCCTGTGGGAGTTGACCCAAGGTATTTTTCCTGAGTTTGTGAGTGAGTTCGTGAGTGGTGAGTGGGTTGGTGAGTGAGTGAGTGAGTGAGTGCATGGTGGGTGAGTGAGTGAGTGAGTGAGTGAGTGAGTGAGTGAGTGAGTGAGTGAGTGAGTGAGTGAGTGAGTGAGTGAGTGATTGATTGATTGATTGATTGAGTGAGTGAGTGAGTGAGTGAGTGAGTGAGTGAGTGAGTGAGTGAGTGAGAGCCAATCTAAACAGTATTTCGGTAATATCACTTTATATGAGGGAACAGCTCAAGTAATAGGCTGTAGTGATTTACCACCTGCGTAAAACCTACAGACAGGTTTGAGGGCAACAGGACTATAATCAGGCTAATAAGGGATTTCTGGTCTGGGTATTGACAATGACATATTGTTACAACAGAGAGGAGACAATGGTCAACAATATATCCATGAGATATAAGGGACCTTGTGGGTGAAAAATCATTTTTGACTACTGATTATATTTTAAAACTACAGTATCTTAGTACCACAAAAATACAAATGATAAACTTTAATACATATTTATTTCATAGACACATGGTACCAAACATTTGGACTCATTTTCTGCAAAGTCCCATTTTCAGATCGTTTATGTAATAATTCCAGTTTTTTTATATAATGTCTGATTAAAGGAAAGTATGCTGAAATGATTTGGGTGTGTGAGTGAGTGAGTTTGGTTTAACGCCGCTTTTAACATTATTCCAGTTATATCACGGTGTGTCAGCTTAATGTGAGAGGAAAGTGATGCAGGTCTCAGGCGTTTACCACTTTGCTGAAACCCACAAGCACGGGTATATTTCACTAAAACAGACAGTAAACAAAAGACATGTTATTGCCCACAACAGGAAGATGTCAATGGTAAAAAACACAATGATTGGCACCAAAAAAGTGTTTTTGTCTGTAATGTTTTATGCCATCCTGACGGGGTCTTCCCAGTTAGCTCAAAACAGAAATTTGGGAGGATTAAGGGTACCATATTCGACGTAATAAGCGCCCCGCTCTAATAATCGCCCACGTCGAGATTTGCTAATATATTGGCTAGTGAACAATCCCAATTAGCACCCCTTCCGATCCCTATTCGCGTATAATACGCACCGCTTCCTTCCCCTATTCGCGTATAATACGCACTCGTGTGTTATATGCACCCTTTATTATTGGCAATTAAATCCTGGAAAAATTTATCTGTCGTACATAATCATTTCAGGCTGTCAGCATGAACCACGAAACTTATCTTTGAACTCCAAAATAATATTCTAGTAAGAGCCCCCTATTTCTAATTTTGAGAGCGCCCTGGGCGCTTATTACGTCGAATACGGTATTAGAGATAGGGATGTTGACACTGGACTTATGTTTTATCTAGATGCAGCCTCCCAGGGAGTTCCTGACTTTATATATTTACCCGAGTGTCCATGAGTGTCATGTGTTGTTATGCATCTGAAAACTATTATAAATTGTGTACATAAAATAAATAAATCTATATATATAAAAATAAAATCGTGTTATTATTGTTCATACACACTATGTCTGGTGGCTGCAGTGGTCAGGAGATGGAACAGACTATACTATAATCCCCCACTGTTCTGCCAATTAACACCTGTGTTAGAACTGGCTGCAGTTAAGCTCAAATGGGGGATTTTGAGCTAACTGGAACTAACCATCCTGACACCATGTGGCAAACTCCACATCCATGAATGAAGCTAAACCTTAGCCCTGCTGGTAAAGAAAGGTCTGCTCGCCTGTCTGACCAGAGTGCTAATTGGTGGGACTATCCGGATGGGGTAGCTATTTCTGTTTCCTTTTCACAGCAGTCCAGTTCCGGAAGCTGAGTTTCGCCACTAACAAGGCAGATGCAATAATACATATTTCGCTTCATCGGTAAAGTAGGTGAAACCTCTGCAGTAAGTCTGACAAGAGAATATACAATAAAGTCCGCTAAACAAAGATCTGAGGACATCCCATTACGGGGCACGTCAGACCGACCTTTCTTGAGCTTTGACCGACCAATGAATGGCTAACAAGAAGTCGACAATAGCCAATCAGAAGGCGGTTTAATCAAGCTTTACGGCACAAGTTTCAAACTGGCGACTACACTTTGAAACATATTTTGACATATACTCGATTACAAAATTTAAAACTGTCAAAAGAACATTCTGGAGTGGCTAATAGATGGTCTAGATTGTATGAATACAGACATAGAGCCCATAACTGTCGTTCGGAATACCCTGTGTGTGTTTTTTTGAGGTTGCACGGTCAAAAATCACAAGGTCGTTCTGACATGACCCGCAATTTTAATGAAATTGCAATAATTCTTTCTTTACACCAAGGCAATTAATAAGCCCAAATGGATTATACATGTGTAGCAAAACCCAGTTAATTTATTGGTAAGTTCGGGGGTGTGACCTGACAATTAACCCTGTATGACCACGTAAGATGTCCGCCCATGTGCGAACCATTCTGAAGAAATGGGTAGCAGATGGTCCACGACAAGTCAGTACGATGGATATGTGCCCCTTTAGGATAAGAAGTCTGGCATCGACTTGTCACACCGACATCTTAATAGTCGTATGAGCAACATATGTGTCCATGGGAGCATAGTGAAATTTATCATCATGACCTGCACGTGCACAACATGCATACACCCTCTCTACCTTTAACAAACCAAATATGTTTGCCCAAATTCTGTGCACTGCCTACCAGAGCTACTTGTCCTTATATCTTCAGACCACCATGTAATAATGGGTTGTTTTTTAATTTGAAATTTACACAATATGCATCTCTTCCATTGGAAGAGATGCCGGTCACATGACTGAAGTTCATAAGAATATGAATGGCACAATTTGACGTTCATAAGTTTTTTAACAAGATTGCATTCTTCCACATTCCTGGAGAAACCCCTGGGAATTCATTTGCACGAAGACACAAAAAAGCATTGTTTCTGATCATTTTCTGCATGCATGTGGATGTGTGTGTGCAGCTGCTTGTACTAATCCGGACTAGTGCCAGTTTTCCAGTGCAACCAGCTCACTCAGAAATGCCACGCTACAGTTTAACATTAATACCTCACTCAGACACAGCATACTGAATCCGAGCCGACCTGTTCCTACAGAGTAACCACAAATACCTTCTTTTAACATCTTTTGGTTTGACCCGGTCGGGGGTCAAACCACGACTTTCTGCTCTCCAGGCAGACACCTATCCACTTTACCAAGAAGGCAGTCCAACTAAAAGAAAAAACTGACCTACACAAGTAGAGAGTATGTTTATGTGAACATATTCGAAAACAAAACACGAACACCATTACTGGTGGCCATGAGGGGTCACTTTGGAAGGGGAAATAACTCTAAACAAGAGGAACTGGAACTGACTTCAGCATGCAGAACAAATTTAAACTGAAACATCTGGGTGATTTTTAGGTACAGTTGAATATGACAAACAGGAAATCTTTAGGTAGCTTTCTTGCCAGTCAGTTCTGAAAACATCTTGACTCCATCAAAAAGTGCATCATTCAAAGTGAAAATATCTCTAAACAATGTGGAACTGGAATTGTATTCAGAAACATAAATAATAAGTCCCGATCTGGGCCCCGTTCCACAAAGCGATCATACCACTACGATTGTCGTATGACAGTGTTAAAGAATCATTCTGAATGGGAGTTACGATCATCTTAGCGCTAAGATCACTTTGTGGAACTGGGCCCAGGTCAATTAAATATGAGAAACGAGATACTTTTTATGTAGCTTTCTTGCCACACAGTCCTCGAAACACCTTAGATGCATCAAAATGTTCAACTTCGGAAGGGAATAACCAAAAAGTTGCGAACTGGATTTAGATACACAAGAAAATCATTAAGACAGGGGTCAGGATTTAGATTTGGATGCGAAACAAGAAACTTTCTTATTTTGCCTTGCTGCCAGACAGTTCTCCATGCAAGTCATAAATGTGGTATATATTCAGCTGCACTGACAGCAGTGATGGTGCTATATCTGCACCTAATGAACCACTCAGACCAGTATCATTATACTGTATCTCCCAATGTACAACAGTTGAAGGGGCACTATTATTGCCTTGGAGGAAAGCTGTCAGTCACAGGTATAGAGGTTTGGCTGGCCAGACATTTTCATCACAGTGTTATCAGGATACCTGATTAGTATGTGTATTTATACGTTGCCGTTCTGTCTGCGGATTTTATTGTGTCTATGGGACAGCTATACGGAAAACTTTGTGCAAAAGTTGATTCAATCAGTGTATGTTTTGGTTTAAGATTTTGTTGTGACTTGGACAGTTTGTGGTTAAACTTTATTCAATCACTTGGGTAGTATCTCTGCTATGAAACTGGATTTCAATGCTTTGCAGATCATTGTGACATCACAATCAAATGACATCGCTAGTGTCTGCCACTGAAGCTGTACTCAACGACCAGTGGTAGTTGTTTATCATACAATAAAATGCTGCAGGAAGTGAAAGCCATGAGAGGTGCAGCCCCAAGTGGTTTATTCTCCCTGCAGTGCTTTATTGTATGATAAACAATGACCATGAGTCGTTTATTTCTTATTTCAGATATCAACATTATGTACAGCCTCTTTAAGGATGTTGATAAATGTACAAGCTTTAAAACTATTTTCCCAAATTTTAATAATGGTGACTCCCTGAATAGAATCGGACCTCAGAAATGTCGGACAAGTCCTTTTTTTAAGTTTAATATTTCACAATCCTCACATCAATCATCTGTACCCTTTCTCCTCATACTGAATGTCAAATGTCTCCCACTTTTGGATGCGATCGTTCGGCCACTATTTTATCTGTATAGCCCAGCTTCATCTGTGGGGAACAACCTACTAGACACTTCCCTCTAAAAAATAACGTCTCCAATATATG